TGTTTATTTACAAAATGATGGGGTTGCGTGTGATACATGAGCTCAACTACCTCCACAGTGTTGGATGACACATGTGAGTCATTATATACGCCATTGGGAATAAAGAAGATTTTAATCCAACGCTAAAATGTTTGCTCATCGTGGCCCGATTCAAATAGTGAACAGGATTACAAGAAGCACCTGCACGTCTATTAGGCACGCGGCAGTTGAATGAGCTCTGTCACACGTCACTCAAACCTGCCGAGTAAGAACATTTAAAAACTATGAAGCCCCAAGTGAAGCTCAGGTTAGGCTTCGTTTTTATCAGGTGCTGCGTCATTTTCTCTAATTTGATTGTTTGGACAAATTCTTTAACTGTATATCTGTTAAGGCCAGTACAGAGCATGAACCAGTATCTACGCATGCACGTAGGTTGAACTTCTTCCCGCACCGTACGTGACCACGCGTGCTAATCAGAGGTGCGAGGGAAGGGCAACAGGAAGTGAGGCCAGCCTCCGACGTGGTTGTCCTTGATACAACTGAGGCAATGTCCATTACACAGGTTAGCAATTGGGGTGGTGGTCATCTCCATCAGTGGCCCAGAGCTAGGAGTAGAATTTCCAGTTTGTTACCAGGAGGCTTACGCCTTCCATCTGACAACCTCTGTTCATCTCCCTCAAAGTGGGTCCCCATTTTACCACCTGCAAACGGATGATGGGGTGAATGTAGGGGTGGCCCAGGCCAGGTTAATATAACATTCCCCACTAATGAGCACTGCCAGGAATCGATGTGGCACAGGAGTGGTGCCAGCCACCCACCGCAACCCCTGACATCCATGCACATCCGAGGGGTGTGGCTGCGATCCCCACGGCGTCCGCTGCCTCCTTGGATAGGTTGAAAAAAATTAGCATTCATCTGTAACACGTGCAAACACTGTTGCTGTTCCATCGTGCCATACGAAAGAAAAACTGCATCCAAACACGAAGATACTCACCCCCTGTTCATCTTTGCACCTTATATGACCAATGCTGTTAGCGAGACCCCATGAGGGTGGTATAGCACACAACGGGACACAAACACGCCCAGGCACCTTTGTCTCCATCACGTTGATATTAATATAAACCGCTCCAGGCACTTGTCAAACAAGGGGGAGCTCAGGATAAGGGTTCAGCCACCATGTGCCCTTTATGTTGTGCATGGCCAGAACTTGTGCCCAGGTAGTAGTGCACTGAAATAATTACTGTGCTACTGTGTGGATACACGCGTGCATGCACACAGCCTCACACACACACACAGCCTCACACACAGCCGTCAGCTTCTATTAATCTCTCCTTAGTCTGTTAAATATCACTGTCTGGCACCATGCATCAGGCACTTAGCATGCTCACTAAAGCATGCAGCCAGTAGGGTTTTTGTTGTTACTATTGTTGCAATCGGCCTCAAAAAGAATTGTCGGCATTGAAAAAGTTTTGTTTCGAGAATTCGTTTTTTTTATCGTAAATGTGAGCAACTGCACGACATGCTGCGCTTCACGCAGAACGCAGAAGATAATGCGCTGTAGATGTTCCTCTCGCAAGATGTTCCCACCATCTCAGTGTATAAATCAAGAGAGCGAGTATTTTGTTTGTTTGCCATTCCCTGCGCTCGATGTTGACACAATGTCCACTGGGCGCGCCTAACGCGCGTGAGTTGTATGCGAACGGTGAGATAGGCACGTCACGTTTCGTCAAGGCCGGCTTTGACAGCATTGCATCCCTCCAGCCCGTCCATTGATGACCGCGCTGTCGTGGTGTAGCATTGCCTTTGGTAAAGGCGTAGCCCTGCGGTTGCCTGCTCACGGCGCTGCTAGCAGATGGGCTTCCACCAGAGGGTTGATCCCGAGATTCTCTCTGGGGAGGGGTGTTGTGGCCGCCTCTATCCGTGCTTACCAGAACACCCCGAATAAGGTATCGACGACTTTGTTCAGTGAGCATCATTCCCCTGTGTGGTGATTCCATTTGCATCGCACCGCATACATGACAGCCACTCAGGTGAGCGCGATATGACCTTTCACAATATGCTACAATATTAATTTCACAATATCATGATTGTGATATCAGTTTCCCTTAAGTTTGTATGTATTTCACATTTGTATATCTCCCATTAGTGTTTTACATTTTGATATTTGTTGTGCTTTGCTGTACTTCCAGTATGATTAAAGATTGCTTTAACATTCTTCAACTGCCGTTCACTAGGTTTAAGCCTGCCAGAAGTATTGGTAATCATTGCAGTCGATCACGCTTATCATGCACGCGCTGCCAGTCACACTCCATTTCATTAAATATTTAACTCCAATATACGTAGACATTGCATCATTTACCGCAGAATGTTTTTACAAAGCGATAACTAATGGGTAACAACCATTTATACTGGTAGGAACGAAGTTGTAAACCGAGTGTGCCAGCCTGCAATAGATTAATGTGTCCGTCCGTCCGTTCGTCCGTCCCCTTTCAATACTTTAACGAAGTGAAATCTCGTGCTGTTGGGGTGTAAAAATAAAATTGCGCATAATTCCAATGTTCCTACCAGCCCACCCTGCAGGGACCTGTTTATGCACAACGTTGTTTGATATATTTTAATGATTTTTTTTTGTCAGGAAGTAACATACTTGAAAAAAATGTAATGAGCAACGATAATAATCACAGTTTTAAGGTATTAATCAAAACGGATGCTATTATTACTGTGGATATTATGTGGTACGATGTAGTATTGCCGTGTCGCGTCAACCTATGCAACAGCTCTTTGGGTCATGTTATAAAGAACGTGTTATTAATAAGATTAGCAAACACAGGTAGCCGTAACTCTGTATTACTATTCAATTCTAAATGTGTCATCAGATTGCAATTGCTTATCATGTAGCGGTGACTCTTTATATTTATGAATACATTTGTAAATAGTTTTTTTTTCTTTTAAAAAACAACAACCGAGGTTGAATAATTGTACCAGCCACATGGGTTAATGTGGTGACAGGAACCGATATCGTCTCCAAAGTCACGTGGAGGAGGTGGTGGTGGTAAAAAATGTGGCGCATATGCAGGACGGAGGAGACCTGGTTATCAAAACAGACAGTCGAACTGGCAGCCAGAGGTCGACAACCAAGGTGAACACCTAAAGCCAATGTCAGGACACCATAAGATCAGACAGAGGAGGGAGGCTGGTGATCAACATTAGCAGGTTCTGGCAGAAACAAGCAATGGTAGTGAGGTGTTGTGACATGATCAGAATTGCTTATGGTATCTTCTTGATCTCTCTCTTTTTGCCCATGTTGCATTACTACTGCAGACTTTCAAATTACACAGATGCTTTTAAAGCAGGTAGCTTTACAAATCTTTAATGACATTTGCATGGCATTTTTTGGTAAATACCATGATGCTGCATGGCATAATAACCTTCAGCTTCACTTGTATTGTTTGGCATTATTCAAGCTCTGCGTTTGTGCTTGGCCCCAAATAGATTTAGCTGATTTCACTGAATTGCTACACGTGGAAAACCTGGTTTAAGCTCCGTTGCGAGAGATCTATTTGAACTCGGGATATTAGCAAAGCTGACTTAGTATTGTGACACAAGAATTTTCCCCTTGAGCCTCCCAGCTACCAAACTGTTTTTTTTTAAATCCCCCCATGCCAAATAAAATAAATTGCATTAATGTGATGGCTGTGTTGTGCAGGCACTGTTATGTTACCTCTGTTGGTCACCCTCGATGTATGCAACAAAAACAAAGTGTATCTGACCTCTAAATATAAATGCGGTATGAGCGATATTGACAAATAACATGAAATAAGTTAGATTACATATTTTTTCATCATCCGGGGATGCTTCGTTAAGTACCACTAAGTGGGAAGTCGGTAGGGGTTGTTCCGCGTAGATATTGTCCTCCGCCAGGTGAATGTGGAATTTCCACTAAAAACTGGATGAGGATAATCCCAATGCTCGCTGGAGAAGGAAGAATATGGGCTACGCTCTGATTGCGCTCGTTATTCAGCGTATGTTTAATCAACCCATGCGGTGAGACACCAGGATTTAATTCGTTACAGCAGTGTCATTTGGTACTCCAGTTAGTCGATGGGCAAATCGCTTGTGGAGAGGTAGAGTGTGGAAGCAGGCTAGAATACCCTCTAGAGCAGTGTTCTTCACTATTTTTCAAGGTCGGGGGGGGGGGGGGGCACTTTCGACAATAAGACATCATCAGCGTGAGGTCCGCCATACCGACTGCAAAGGGTTTTTTTCGCATTTGTGTATTGTTGGGGGCCACAAGTCAGAGGCCGCACTAAAGGCCACCAGGGGCCGCTCGTGGCCTGCGGGCCTTGCAATGAACAACACTGCTCTATAGGGGACTCTCTAGATCTCCCTCGAGTGGGGGGCCCTTCTGTTCGCAGTGGTGTTAGCAAGACATTGCGGGTCCTCTTTACGTTTCTTCACATGCGTTCTGCGTTTGCAAAGATGGGAAGAAAGCCAAACGAGTAATATAAGCAAACAGTACTCTTCATAATCACTGCTTAGAGCTTCAACTCCCGGTTGGGAAGGCCCTGCGTGAGATGGTTTAAGTGACATTGATAAATGGGCACATGCTGAAGGAACCGTATTGCACATTTAAATCACCAATTTATATGTTAAAGGGAAAAAAAAGTGTCAAAGGAATCTTAATTTCCTTGTTTTGTTGTGAGACACTGGCTGTGAACCCTGTGGTATCGCGTTCCGCTGCCCCCAGTACAATGCGCGGTGATGGGTTGTTAAGTTTAATTTAGTTTGATGCGAACCATGAACTATATTTAAAAGGGCCTCCCTGACTGACGGCGTAATGTGTTTACCGTTGGCGTCATGTTGAGATAGCATCGGATCGGGCAGCACGGGCCATGGGTTAATTTAAATAGCAGGGGGCTCGAGCTGTCTGGCTGCGAGAGCCCTGATAACGTGAGCTGTATACACGCAGAGGGCTTCCCTGTTATCTGCTGAGTGCAGCTGTCTTCCCCATTTTTCTTCAGGTACCAATGAAGTGATGAGAATGATCGTGGCCAGGAGCTTGCTTGAAGACCAGTGAACAAGGCTCAGGATTTATGTCCTTCAAGATGACAAGCGTCTCCCCTCGCACCACATTTTTTTTATTTTAATTTGTCATGATTACCGATTTTTCATTTATTTGTTGCACGTGCTTATGTGTGTGTGTGTGCACATACAGTTATCGGAGTAGTAATGGTTCGCACACAAGGTGCAATTCTAAGCCATGTTCAACTTTAATGGAAAATGGTGCAACCCGGCCTTAAGTGAGTACCTGGTGCGGTGTGTAAACATCAGCAATGGGGAGACAAAGGTGTTCTGGCTACACCACCCTGTTGTATACCGTGCGGGCCTTTAGAGGTAATCCTTGCTGCAACAGCCTGAAAAAGCTCTTTTGGGAATCTCTGTCTTTGTTTTGTGGACATATAGTTGTTAAAATAGGAGCATAATGGTGAGTACAAAATATTAAATTTCTCGCCATGCACAGCATCACTGAAAAATAGTAACTGAGCCAGTGAAAGGGTCAACTCTGGCTTAAATGAGTAACTGGTGCGATACATGAACATTAGCACTGAAGGGAGGTCAAATGTGGCTGGTCATGGTGCTGGCCACACCATTTCCTCACCAGGTAACACCACCCAAGAGATGTTGATTTGATGATTATAATGATGGATAGACGATGGTGGATCTAGTTGACCCTGCCCTGGATTTAAACCAACTTGAAAGACCAAATTAATAATTGGGTAATATTGGTCAAAATGTGTACATTTGAGTTTGCCATTTAGAAAATTATAATGTCGAACATTACCACAGTATCCTGTATGTAATTTATTTTCTAAAATTGACGTATTGTTGATGGCACATCAGTAGCATTGTCAGCTTGCTAAAGACAACCAACAAACTTAATCATTTGCATATGTAATGAATTCGCATAATTTCTTATATAAGATGTATATTCTTATAATTTTTGTATAAAGTCCCAATTTTAGGAAAGGATTACACAAGGATCTGGATAAAATTATGGAGTCTCCATAATTGCTTTAGGGGTACTTATGGGATTTAATTTCTCACGTAGTAAAATGCATTTATATTTTAATCAACAATAGGTTATCACAGGTTATTTCTTTGGGCTGCCACGCTTTCTACGGGGGCAGTGCTGCATTTAATAAGATTGCAAACTGCTTAATAAATATCATAGTTTCATTAACAAGTAATTGCAGTGATACATGAACTTTAGCTCAAAATATTGAAAATTAATTGCACAAAGAAACTTCGAAATGAATTCCGTATATATTTTACATTGAATTGAGCTTTAAAATAGATAAAATCCCAGCAATCTGATCTAACCCGGTAATAATCTCAGGCTCGAAAGATGCTTATACATGGCTGAGCAGCTTAGGTCCTAATTAAAGTCGTGTGTGTGCAGAACTTGTCATGCTCGCCTACAGAATTTATATATGAAATGGGTAAACTTGAGGGCATTCAACCTTTCGTCACTTCTACGTTTGGCTGAGAAATGTGCACGATGGCTCTCTGAAGTCAGGGAACCAACGGTACGTACTCAACCATGACAAAGATAACATGAATATTTAAATCAGATTCATTTGATTTCATTGGTCTTGAGAATATTTTTAATTTGCCTAAATTGACAATATTTGTGAGCACTTTTTTTTCCTCCAGCATCTCTGCCTTGGTAAACGTACACTTTATCTGTGGAATTACGGAATAAAAAAGAATTGAAGAAAAAATTGGTGAACTGTCATTCTTTACTTTGTTTTGCCTGTGGACCTTTTTTTCACTTGACGCACTGATTTTTTTGTGTTGTTGTATTAGCAACTTTTGCACAGTCTTGTATCTTGACACCAATTGCCGACATCAGTTCTAATTCCATGAACACCTTGCAGTGTGCCTGATGGTGACAAATCATTTGTGAATGCTCGTCGGTGACATTTCAAATTGAATTCTTTAATTAGCAATTTAGGCTACGTTAAATTGCAATGCGTTAAACTCAAAGCGGATGCTCACATATCTCCGTGAAGGTTAAGCATGGTCCTTTACAGCTATTTTGAATGATGAATAAGATATATTTTAAAAATGTTTGGCCAGTCGTTGACATCTTGTCTGTATTATCCCCATCACATTCGCCGTTTGTTTTGGAGGGCTTTTATTTATGTTATCTTGTGCTTTTTGAATTCCTTTAATAAGAGATTCGTTGTGTTTAATATTTTCACTGCAGGGGGAAAAAAATATTTTCACATAGCAGGTGAGTAGGTATCCGTGCAGAATGTGTGCTCAGGAAATGAAATTGTCTGGCCCATAATAACTACGCTTGGAAATGTCAACTTTTAAAAGTTCTAACCTCATTGATTCTACTTTAGCCCGTATATTGGAAACTTTGCTGCATCAGCTGTGATAACATTTTATTCTCAAAATTAGATGCAGTCTATGTTTACACGAGGCTCGAGATATCACAATGCTGTGGCAGAAATCACACGTGCCAAATGTATAGTATTGAAACAACTGAGTACATGTGATGGACTTTTTTTAAATCACACGTTAATTTAAATGATTTATATGTTGCACCTCATCTTCAGAGTATTAAGTTTTACATATATGTTGCGTTTCCACTTTGCTGTAGTGCATTACTGTTTGAAGTTGATAAATACACTTCGGCATGATCCTACAACCGATATGCCACCATGTCAAACCTGCTTATGGGGCCGTCCATAAATGACGTCGCGCGATTTTGGACGATTTTTGACCCCCCCTCGTCACACGGCGTCACAAAAAGTCAGACCCCCCTCAAATATGACGTCACAAAGCTCTGCCCCCCCCCCAAAAAAACATTTCCATTTTGAAAATAAAACATGCTTCAAATCGCTTAACTATTTTCATTGTAGTGCGTATTTAATGTGGCGCTGCACTCTGATGTTGTAGGAGTGTTATAACAAGTAGTGTTATAACAACTCTATTTATTTAAAGTTGCGCATTTTGATGTGACGTCACATTTCTCAACCCCCCCCCCCCTTGTCACACATCGTCACAAATGTCTGACCCCCACCCCCTAGGTGCGTGACGTCATTTATGGACGGCCCCTATGTCGATGGCCAGAATGTTTTAAAAATGTACGTGTGTGTGTAAACAGAGATTATGTCCACATAAATATATATGTATAGGATTAAGCTCATTTTGTGCAGAATGTAACAGCTCAAAACATTGAAAGCTACCCATGTTGGTCTTATCGATGATTGTATGCTGCTGTGGTGTAATGGTTAGCACAAAGGTTGTTAGTTGAATTAGTGGGCACAGTTTGTTTTAAATACAATACATTTTTGGGTCAGGTCGCGTGATTGAAACGTGAATCGTAAACCCTCCGCCACCTGACACTGCCAATTAATGAAGTTGTCACGTGAACAAACGTGCAAATATATTACTGCTTTAGCACATCCCGGTGTGTTAGAGAGCAATTCACATTTCACAATTTGGTACAGCGTTTCGCTGGCACTTACAGCCAGCATATGTCATCTTCCAGAGGGTGTGCTTTAACGATGAATTATTTATTACTCTCTGTAAGAGTTTAAAAAAAAATGTTTTTTATTTTACTTATTTTCATGACACGATTCTAATATAACAATTTTAATACAGTTGGGATAAAAAAAGTGAAAAGCAATATAATTCAGAAACTATAAATTCAGTTGTGTTGCCTCTACAAAGTGAAACATTTTCATTGTGGAGTTCCCTCAAGCAGAAATACGTCACATTAATGTTAAGAATGGTCCCTGGAACGTGACACTGGACAATTATTTGTGGAATGACTTCATATTGCCTCTCCTACCTCACACTTAGATGTTTTGTATACTTCATGCTCTATGAGCAGGGGTCTCCACATGCCATCTGATATAATACAATTTGACCCTCAGAGCTGAGCTACAGTGAGGGAAAAAAGTATTTGATCCCCTGCTGATTTTGTACGTTTGCCCACTGACAAAGAAATGATCAGTCTATAATTTTAATGTTAGGTTTATTTGAACAGAGAGAGACAGAATAACAACAAAAAATCCAGAAAAATGCATGTAAAATTTTTTATAAATTGATTTGCATTTTAATGAGGGAAATAAGTATTTGACCCCTCTGCAAAACATGACTTAGTACTTGGTGGCAAAACCCTTGTTGGCAATCACAGAGGTCAGACGTTTCTTGTAGTTGGCCACCAGGTTTGCACACATCTCAGGAGGGATTTTGTCCCACTCCTCTTTGCAGATCTTCTCCAAGTCATTAAGGTTTCGAGGCTGACGTTTGGCAACTCGAACCTTCAGCTCCCTCCACAGATTTTCTATGGGATTAAGGTTTGGAGACTGGCTAGGCCACTCCAGGACCTTAATGTGCTTCTTCTTGAGCCACTCCTTTGTTGCCTTGGCCGTGTGTTTTGGGTCATTGTCATGCTGGAATACCCATCCACGACCCATTTTAAATGCCATGGCTGAGGGAAGGAGGTTCTCATCCAAGATTTGACGGTACATGGCCTCGTCCATCGTCCCTTTGATGCGGTTAAGTTGTCCTGTCCCCTTAGCAGAAAAACACCCCCAATGCATAATGTTTCCACCTCCATGTTTGACGGCAGGGATGGTGTTCTTGGGGTCATAGGCAGCATTCCTCCTCCTCCAAACACGGCGAGTTGAGTTGATGCCAAAGAGCTCCATTTTGGTCTCATCTGACTACAACATTTTCACCCAGTTGTCCTCTGAATCATTTAGATGTTAATTGTCAAACTTCAGACGGGCATGTATATGTGCTTTCTTGAGCAGGGGGACCTTGCGGGCGCTGCAGGATTTCAGTCCTTAACGGCGTAGTGTGTTACCAATTGTTTTCTTGGTGACTATAGTCCCTGCTGCCTTGAGATCATTGACAAGACCCTCCCGTGTAGTTCTGGGCTGATTCCTCACCGTTCTCATGATCATTGCAAATCCACTAGGTGAGATCTTGCATGGAGCCCAAGCCAAGGGAGATTGACAGTTATTTTGTGTTTCTTCCATTTGCGAATAATCGCACCAACTGTTGTCACCTTCTCACCAAGCTGCTTGGCAATGGTCTTGTAGCCCATTCCAGCCTTGTGTAGGTCTACAATCTTGTCCCTGACATCCTTGGGGAACTCTTTGGTCTTGGCCATGGTGGATAGTTTGGAATCTGATTGATTGATTGCTTCTGTGGACAGGTGTCTTTTATACAGGTAACAAGCTGAGATTAGGAGCACTCCCTTTAAGATTGTGCTCCTAATCTCAGCTCGTTACCTGTATAAAAAACACCTAGGAGCCAGAAATCTTTCTGATTGAGAGGGGGTCAAATACTCATTTCCCTCATTAAAATGCAAATCAATTTATAACATTTTTGATAGGCGTTTTGTCTGGATTTTTTTTATTGTTATTCTGTCTCTCATTGTTCAAATAAACCTACCATTAAAATTATAGACTGATAATTTCTTTATCAGTGGGCAAATGTGCAAAATCAGCAGGGGATCAAATACTTTTTTCCCTCACTGTATATTGAAGCAAAGTATATAACTAAATAACTATTTTAGATGATCTATTTTGTACAGTCACTGGTGAATGAGTAGGGAACATCAATTTTACACTTGAGATGCTGGCTCGATCACAGATGGGTGTGTGGATTCAAAACCAGCGTCCAGTTGGTGCTGAATCAGTTATTGATGTAATAGCCCAGACTCTCTGGATTCCTCTCCACAAGTTAAACAATATTCTTGGTTATATATTCTTGGTTCTTTCGGTAAAGTCACGTAGAAGGGAAACAATAAAATAATAAAAATATAAAACAATACAATTATCACGACGTTTCGACTGCAACACAAGCAATCATCATCAGGTGTGAAACCCACAACAAGAAAATTTGAAAAAAAAATTGATTTAAAGCTTTCGTGACTGCAGGGATTCGAAAGAACCAAGAATATGAATCCCTGCAGTCACAAAAACTTTAAATCAAGTTAAACAATGTTTGAGCAACTCATTACTCTGCAGGTAGGCATACCATGCATCTGTCTGTCAGCAGGTCTGCTGTCCTACTTGTCATTATTAGCATGTCCCGTGGATACATCTCAACATAAAGATGTATGTGGTGCATAATAAAGATATTGTGCACCACATATGAATTTATCACCGGTGCATTTTATTTGAATTCTGAGCTGACCAAATGCAGCAACGACAACAGGAGTTGTGGCTTAAAGATTATGTTTTTTTATTTGAAATTGACATTTGTGTACAACTGAGTTAAATGTAGAAATCGGTGATTTGGGTGCAGTTAATGTTTGACATTTCGAAAACTCTTGAAGCAGCGCCAATTTGTTGCTCCTGTTTTATATATTTTTTAAATCACACTTTACTTTCTTCAATGATGTATAAGAGATCTGCCCCCCCCCCCCAACTCCTCTTACCCCTGCCACATCTCCCCATATCTACAAATGCATTGAGCACATTTAAACCAGCCAGAAACGAAGCACCGTTGCTTTTGCAATGTTGTGTTCTTATTGTTACATATTGAATGACTGGTTTTAACAAAGCAAATGCTCCAAGTGTATAATTAAAAGTGACCAGCAATAGATATGGAGTACTCATCAGATGTACTGTATTCCTATCAGCTTATTATGTAATCCGAAGTTAATCGACAGGCTGATGGGCTTTTTTTATACCAAACTTGTAATGGATCTAATTCCAGACAGAACCAATTGAGTATCTTAGTA